AATCTGAAGTCATCAAGAGACTCTCCAAGCACCACAACATTGATGTTCTTGCTCTGCAAGAAGCTCAATTTGCAGAAACGCCTTAACCACGTCTTAAGTTACTCGGATTTACCCTCGTGGCCAGCCTGGTGGCTAATTAGCTCAAAGCCAACTGCCGGCCGCCTGCCTCATGACTACCACATCCCCTCCTGTGGGCACGAGGAGGAACCAAAGACAAGCGGAAAGGGAGGCAGCCACGCGATGAGCGGTCGCCAACAATTGCCCAAGATCTGCAATCCCCTATATATACTAAGATGCTATCCACCAATTAATTCGTGTTTACATGTGGGATGAAACCGGAGCACCCGGAGAAAGCCCATGGGTGTGATGTGCAATCACTCTATCCCATAGCGACTGAAGAGGTGGAGTCGGCATTCTAGCTGTATCACCTCCTTCTGTACCACCTCCTTCTGTACCACCTCCTCCTGTACCACCTTCTCCTGTACCACCTCCTCCTGTACCACCTTCTCCTGTACCACCTCCTCCTGTACCACTTCTTCTGTACCACCTTCTCCTGTACCACCTTCTCCTGTACCACTTCTCCTGTACCACTTCTCCTGTACCACCTTCTCTTGTACCACTTCTCCTGTACCACCTTCTCCTGTACCACCTCCTCTTGTACCACCTTCTACTGTACCACCTTCTCCTGTACCACCTTCTCCTGTACCACCTTCTCCTGTACCACCTCCTCCTGTACCACCTTCTCCTGTACCACCTTCTCCTGTACCACCTCCTCCTGTACCACCTTCTTCTGACAACCCAGGGTATGGCACCGCGACTCCCACAGGAAGGGGGTTTCACAACATTTGTGTGATCCGCCAAGCCTCGCCTCGAGTGGCGCTGGATTAAAGGCATGCGGCACCACAGCCTTGGTGCATCTTGGTGTAACGTTGGACAGAAGCCTCCCCTACCACCCAGATCTCAAAGCGGTGACGGATAAAACCGAGTCCCGGATCAACATCATCCACAAGCTGACGGGGGGTACCAGCTGGGGTTGTGATGCGAAATCCCTGAGAAGGGCATCCCTGGCGCTTGTGCACTCATCGTGCAACCAGTTTGGTAAAGCAGCTCGCACATGAACTTCGTCGATTCCCAGCCAAACGCTGCTGGGCGATTCATCGTTACCAGAACATTGAGGTCAATGCCACTCCCGTGGCGGCCTGCACTCGCCCACACATTGCTCCTCCAAGGATTCCGATGCGAGGACGAATGCCGCATTGTGAGAATATTAAAAAGGCATCCTTCTCGCAAACACGATGCTACCCATCTGTGAAGATCGCGAACGCTCGCCACCACCCAGGCTCAAATCCTCCTAGACAACAGCAGAGACTCCTTCTGGAATCGAGCACAACTGCAAAGGGAAACGCGGAGGCACCAAAGTGGGGGCGGCGCAGACGTCAGCGACAGGAACCGAATTGAAGATCGCACGGCCGAACCTCCTGGCTTCGCACCAATCATGGCGGCAGTTGGCCGTCGTAAAACTTGCATCGGGACGTGGATCACGTCTGATGCACGAGGGGTGGCGGAAAAGGAAATCTGTGGTGAACTCGCTGTGGTGAACTCGAAACAATGGAAATCGCTGTGAACAGCTAGCTGCCCCCTTATATTCCGCTTCCCTACAGAACGACGAACTTTCATTCCGATGGCGTTCTTCTGGACTCGACCTGCCTTTGTAAATGTTGCTATTTTCCACGTGACAGACGAAGACCCACCACCAGTGTTGCCACCCTGCTCAAAGTAATGAGCCCAGAGAGAGCCATCACTTGCAGTCTGTTTCCAGTAAACTGTCCGCGGTTTCTGGAGGACAGCGTGAGGCTATAGAGAGCGTTGGGAGATGGCATGTCGGGGATAGGTTTGTGCCGGAACCTAAATAAACACAACAAAGCCTTAGCGCAGGCTGAGTGCACAATCAAAATGAATTCCTCTTCATACCCAACCATGTCCCCTGTGATTAAGTCAACGTCAAAAAATAACAAATGAGAAATCCTCTCGAATGAACTGATGCAACGCAACACAATCTCCGTGGCTGCAAACATAACGTTATTGTACGTATAAACAAATGAATGTGCTTTAGTGCATTTGACTTACTGTACTGCATATGCTTTGAACTATAATTTGTTTCAACGTTATTTAATGTTGAAACAAATTCCCGGAATGTAAGGAGGAATTAGGGCCACGGCAAGGGTTACTAATATTCCCAACGAGTTAATGGTGGCGAGACTTAGATGGTGGGGACATATATTGAGAAGAGATAAGATGCTATGAGTAAGGCGATGGAGATTGGGGACCCACAGACTCAGACACATAGATACCCACAACACAGGTTTTTGTGTTGGATCGCGTAAATATATAAATGTGTTGTTAAACCCGCCACCACCCGACACAGCCAACTAGTAAGGGTTGTCACGTAAACAGAACGATGCCAATTCGTCACTAGCACAGCACATCGGTATGTTGGAGAGCCAAGCCACAACATTTGCAATCTGAGTACGACGTTTCGCCAGTATTTACAACTAGCTTAATCAGGCGACAGCCAGATTTGTGGAGAAGTCTTTAACTGTTTCGTTCCTTATATAGAGGCGTAGATGTGGTGACCAAAAAACCTCTATTATGGATGATATTGGTCGCGAAATCCTACGGGTTAAACATAGATACCCATACACTCACACAGAAACCGAAAGACTGACACAGAGACCCATTTAGTCACGCAGAGACCCATATAGACTCAACACTTAGACCCATAGACTCACACAGAGACCCATAAACTCACACAGAGACCCATACACTCACACGAAGACCCATAGATAAGAAGGGTTATAGTCTCACACAGACTCACACAGAGACCCACAGACTCACACAGAGACCCATAGACTTACACAGAGACCCAAAGACTGACACAGATACCCAAAGACTCACACAGAGACCCATACTTGAGAAGGGCTATCAGTGCAAGGCGAACTAAGGAGGGGGACCCCGAGGGTGACCTTCGTGCTGGAGTGACGAGGACAGTGGAGAAAAATATGGACAGACTATAAGCACGTGGAGAAATACAACCTTAGGGGCTAACCCCATGCAATAGTGGGACTATTCGTTAAGAAGAAGATTATTTAACGGAGGAGATTTTCCCGAGCACTCTGTGCCCAATGGCGTACACAATGTGATCGAGACAGGAGTCTGGAGAAATGCGAACACGGTGGGTGTCGGCACGGTGAGTGACGTTGCTATATGCCGTTTCGTTGAGACAGACTGTAGACCTCATTTGGTTTGGCCCGGTGAACCGCAAAAATGTGGGGGTTTTTTTGTATGAATTGCTCACGTGAAGTGTTGCTTCAAATAGGAGCGCAGCGCCTATTTGAATAGCATCGAGGACCGAGGGATCGTAAGTTACCGTCATTTTCATATTTTAACCTTGATGTTGTGTGTAACATAACGCTGACACATTTATAGCTATGCCAGCTAGCTTGCGCCGAGTTAAATCGTATTGGAATTCACCATTGGTTTTCAGTAGAAGAGCCTCATTTACAAGGATAAGCATTGAACAAAAATTAAACGAGGTTCATTGTAAAATCATTGTGAAAATGTGGATGCTGCCACGAGTGATTGCCACTGGACATTGCAGAGGTCACCTATTGGACCAACGGGTGTGGCAGTTAACACAAAGGTGCAGGTCTCCCACATCTCACTGCCTCTGTGCACCCAGTGGCGTAAATGGGTACAAGGTAACATGTGGTGGGGTTAAGAGCGGGTATTCCCACCCCTTCCAAGATGTCTGGCCAACGTGGAAGAGTAGGAAAAATACCCTATGGGTCGGGGGGAGGATGGGGCGGGGTTTCCAGGAGTCTTTCTCTGGAAGAGTCCTTCTTCATCCAAGTGAGTGGCATGAGCAAGCGATTGCAGGGCTGCGCCTCTATAATCGTGAACATTGACTGGAGACTTACAAGCGTCGGCACGAGTGTCACGACGGAGCCAATCGCACGCATGACAACCACGTGCGTGGTGGGGCTGTTGTTGTCCGAATGTGCCAGACGCGTTAGGCGGAGCCCACAACATTCGCTGCTGTAACTAGATTCGTACCACTTGAGCGTCGCCCTTGGCCCTTCGACAGACGTGCAGCCTATTAGCCCACTCCAGCAAGCGTGCGGGGCTACGTTGCTAATGAGCCCTCCGTCCACGAGCCTGCCATCAGACACACGGCGAGATTAAACCGTTGAGTTTGCATCCTGCGAGTTGTCCACTTAAAAAAAAAGTTGAATGATCACCGTCGGGCGGGGAGCCAGTGGCACGGTGGTTCGTGCACTGCGCTTCGAATCCAACCCTCGTGACTGTCACTGGGTGGGATGGAGGCCCCGTATAGCAGTGGGTGTACAAAGGACTGTGAATGATACGAGGTCAATTCGCGCCACTGTAATTGCTTGCTCGTGCCATTGCTGGCCGGAGGGCCTCCAGTAGAATATTCTCAAGAGAGTCCGCCCGAGAGGGCATCTTGGCCTACTCTTCCACGCTGAACCAGACGTCTCTGAAGAGGCGGGAGTACCCACACTTTACCCCACGACGCGCCAGCTGCTGAATGACTTTTAATTATAATTCATGATAATACTACTACTACATATATACAGTCCTTTATCAATCCACTGGTAGATGAAGTCGTCCCAATACCGTGTGAGTCATGGAGATTGTTCGACCATACTTCAACACGATGGTGAAGTTGAGAGGGTAGGTGCCCAGGTTCGGTCCGGATACCAATCGATACTGATGTGGCTGGGATTCAAACTCTCGGTCTGGTGCCCAGTGCACTAACCACTATGTCACTGCTGCCCCATATATTACTGCAGTTGTATTAATTGCTACTTTAAATCATGGTCATGAGTCTGCCGTATGCAATTGGTGTGCTACAACCTCTTCAGAGCTTGCCATCTGCTTCCGCATGAGCGATCCCCTTGCAGGTCAGATGTACGATGTCATTAACACCGAGGTGTCATTAGGGCTACGTTGGCTTGAATCTGCCCTGCGGCACCTGCCACGATGGGGGTTGATACAAAGCACGGGGCTTTAGCAGGCCCTTCGTTTCCCCCTCACCCAGTTGACTAATAAGGCAGCCGTATAAATCAGGGCCTGAATATGAGAAATTGGAGAGCCACTCCTGTCAATTCCGGACAGCCTACTCAATATTTCTTGTAGCCCAGGTCTGATTTACACTGTAGGTCTATATCATACGGATTTCTCAATTTTTTTGGTTCCTTAATGACCGGCATATTAACAGGTCTCATGAAATAACCGAGCAATTGCAGTATCGTACTAAAAGCGACAAGTATCTGTTGGTACAGACGAGCACTTGCCTCGGAGTAAATGGTTTTTGCTTTTTGAATTCAATCCTGGCCCATTTTTCTCCAATTTAAACAAATTATTTGGTGAGACTGCGTCAGTAGTGGTGCAGAAGCACAAATTTCAACAACAACAAAAAACTCAACACATTTGTCAATAACACGGCCTTTAAAGGAACACAATATATATGCCTATTATATATTTTATATTTAAGGCAGTGTTATTGCCGAATGCGTTGAGATTGTTTCGTCATTTGATCAGTGCATTGATAAGCGTGAGCAGGGGAGCATTGGTGCACTGCAAATCCGGCAACTTGAGTTCAATTCTGTCATGGCGAATGTGAACCAAACTATATTACCTGAAAGGTGCCTTTCTTAAAACCAATGCCCCTTTACGTAAAATTATCATCCAATACAAATTTAAAACAATGCAATTAAAATAGGAATTAGATTGATCCTGCGACCACAAATTTGTTACATTTATGTAGTTTTCATGAGTGGCGAGTGATATCTTGAACCAATCCTGGGCCCCACTCCAGCAACCCACATTGACCAAGGTGGTATAGCCCATGACCTAAATATGTGGGGAGGCATTCATCCAGCAGTGGATTGACATAGGTCCGATGGCGAATTCACGACTCAACATGCATGAGCGACATTAGACAATAACGTGGCCATGTGATGCAGAGAACAAACCCACAAGTCAAGTGCTAACACAACGTGAAGACGATTGTTTTGCTTAGTATGCATTGCCGTGTTGCTTAGTTACTTCAACACTATACAGAGGTCTGTCCTAGGATGCAAGTATCTCTAAAGTGTTTTAAGGTTATCGCGCGCGCTCTTTGGCACGATGTACGATGTTTCGCTCTCCACGGCCTGGGATCGTCTACTAAGGATTTTTCAAACAACACGCGGTACAACCCAAAAAACGAGCGGCAGAGCTACAGGGCACAACTGCAGACACCTCCCACGCTAGGGTGGATGCGGCATTTGTGATTTATTTTCCTTTGTTAGCAAGAGGGACTTTTTTTGTTGTTGTTAGCAAGTAAAATGAAATGCTGTTGCCATGCGAACATTGCTCAGTGTTAAAACACTTAGCGTGATGCTGCATATAGCCTTCTAATGCTGCTATATAAAAGGGATGCTCCTTTTTGTCATTCTCAGGGCCACATTCTGTGTACTGTACAAATCGGCTCCCTCTGGTGGTCGATAGGTTCTTGGTAATTTTGGCAATTTTTGTTTGCAAATAAATTAATTTACCAACAGGGGATGAATTTCCTTGGTTAATTTTTTTTAAAGAGTACTTATGGTGCTGCATATTCAACCTCAATATTAGCAAGTTACAAGCTTCCCAAGCGGCTATTTATTTTTAATTGCATACACAATATATTTGGGAGGGGGTGGGAGGGGTGGAATTACATGATAAAAAAACCACATAAGAGCAAACATGAGACTAATATCGCAACATGCTTAAGTTTTCTAGGCATCAGCATGAAAGCTCAAAATTGGTCAAATGGAAGTTATTTGTTTATTAAAAGTCAAATTTATTTCACACAGCTGCAAAAACGTGTGCAGTACAACGTACATACCTTGACACGTGCGAGCCCAGCCTCAGGTTAGTCAAATTTGTTGAAACAAATCACGTTTCGCTGTTTATTATTAAAAGTAGATTACTTTTTTGTTGTTCCATGTAATTATTGTAATGCACATTTGTGAAGTCTGCAGGGATAATCTTTGCTAAACTGCACTTGATTTCATCTCAGTGTGTTGCTATGATGAGCATTATGTAACAAAATGAGATTGTGCATAAAGCTACAAGCAAGGCACGGTGACTCTTCAGTAGAATTCATTGCCAAGGTGTGTGGGGGGGGGGAAACCCCCAGTAATTAATCAAAAACGTGACAACAATAGGATGGGGTGGTACCCGAACTAATACAAGTGCTTTTTATCATTATCATCATTGGCCTTTGTGTCTCGAGAGACAATTCTTTTTGCGCCTTACGAGGTCAGCTGTAGGTTTCGCAGCGCCTAGAATGACTTAGTAGGCCAATCCTTGAGTGACAATCCTTGCCACAGCAATTGCAAGTGAATGCGGTGGCAGCTCCAGAGGTGTTTGTTGCTTTTTCTTTACGTCGCTCCCTCTTGGTCTGCCAAGCGGTACGTGTTTTCTCCTCGCCTCTCCTGAAGCCTGTTTTCACAGCCTGCTGCCAGCTGAGTCGGTCGCCGGCAGTTTTCTCCCAGTCATTTGGCTTGATGTCGCAGCTCTTCATGTCCCGTTTACAGACATCTTTGAAGCGCAGGACCGGGCGACCGGTGGCCCGTGTGCCTGATGCCAGCTCGCCGTACAAGACATCCTTGGGTATTCTGCCATCCTGCATGCGGCGCACGTGTCCAAGCCATCTCAGGCGCCTATGACTGAGTAGAGAGTACATGCTGGGAATGTTGGCCAAGTTGAGAACTGAGGTGTTGGGAATGCAATCTTGCCATCTGATATCGAGGATGCGCCTGAGATATCGGAGGTGGAATGTGTTTAGTCGATGTTCTTGATGGGCGTATGTTCTCCAGGATACAGGCCCGGTACACTTGTACTTTGGTGTTGAGCGTCAGGGATTTGTTCTCCCACACTCTTTTAGTCAACTTGAACATAGCTCTAGACGCCTTCCGAATGCGCTTGTCAATCTCTGTGACAAGAGACAAATTGTAGGTGATGGTAGAACCCAAGTAGGTGAAGTCCTGAACGACTTCCAGGGTGTAGCTGCCAATGTTTATGAAAGGGGTGTCTCTGACATCCTGGCCCATGACATTGGTCTTTATTAGACTGATTGTCAGGCCAAAGTTGTTGCAGGCATTGGCAAAGTGGTCGATGAGTGTCTGCAAACCTTGTTCTGTGTGAGCTGTCAGCGCAGCATCATCAGCAAAAAGGAGTTCTCTGATGAGGACTTTGCGGACTTTGGTTTTGGATCTGAGATGGCCAAGGTTGAAGAGTTTGCCATCAGATCTTGTATGAAGAAAGACTCCCTCTTCTGCTGTCCCAAAGGCATGTGTGAGCATAAGTGAGAAAAAGATGCCAAACAGTGTTGGGGCAAGCACGCACCCCTGCTTTACAACGCTGAGTATGGGAAATTCCTCTGAGGTGGTGCCGCTGTGCTGTATTGTTCCTTTGATGTTGTCATGGAAAGAGGAGATGACTGTCAGCAGCTTCGGTGGACAGCCGATCACTTTGAGGAGTTTGAAGAGGCATCCCCTACTGATGAGGTCAAAGGCTTTTGTAAGATCAATGAATGCCAAGTACAGGGGCATTCTCTGTTCTCGACATTTCTCCTGTAGCTGACGCAAGGAGAAAAGCATGCCAATTGTAGACCTTCCTGCTCTGAAGCCACACTGAGCCTCAGGATACGTCCTCTCAGCTAGTATCTGTAACCTGCTGAGGGCCACACGGGCAAAGGTTTTCCCCACGATGCTCAGCAGGGAGTTGCCACGGTAGTTATTGCAGTCCCCACGGTCACCCTTGTTTTATATAGGGTGATGATGTTTAAGTCTCTCATGCCTTGAGGCATTGCTCCTTCTTCCCAGCACTGGCAGAGAAGTTCATGTAGTTTTGTGAGGACGGCGGGTTTTGCACATTTTAGTACCACAGGTGTGATGCCGTCCTGTCCCGGTGACTCGCCGCTGGCTAGTGAGTTGATGCGTTGTCAAGTTCCTTCAAGGTTGGAACATTGTCCAGTTCGTGTATCGTTGGTAGGGGCTTTACAGCAGCAAGGGCAGCTTCTGACACACCATTGTCTCTTGAGTAGAGCTCTGAGTAGTGTTCTACCCACCTGGCCATTTGCTCTTGTTTATCAGTGATGATGGCCCCTGTGCTGGATTTAAGGGGGGCAGTCCTCTTGATGTTTGGGCCAAAGGCTGTCTTGATGCCTTCATACATGGCACGGATATTGCCAGTGTCAGAGGCGAGTTGGATCCTACTACTGAGGTTCACCCAGTAGTTGTTGGCGCAGCGTCTGGCGGTTGTTTGGGCTGCACTACGAGCAGTTTTCAGAGCCCTTAATGATTCTGTACTTGGGTCTTGCTTGTACTTCAGGAGCGCCATGCGTTTGGCTTGGAGGATGGGTTCCAATATAGCCAGGTGTTCCTCAAACCAGGCTGTGTTCCGCCTTGTCTGCCTGCCGAAGGTATTGATGACTGTATTGAAGATGGCGTCTCTGATATATGCCCACATTGTCTCCACGCTTCCATCTGGTGTGTCGTGTAGGGACTGCTCAAGGCTGTGTTGGAATAATTGCGTGAGCTCTGGGAGGGATGTCTTGGCAGAGTTGATGCATAGGTAGCGCTTTTGTTTGAGTCCGTGTATCTTATGGGGCGTAGTCTGACCTTGCTGGATACCAGCGAGTGATCGGTGTCACAGATTGCACTGTGGTAGCTGTGTGTGATGAGTACCGAGTTGAGGAGGGCTCGTTCGTTGATGACGAGGTCCAGTTGGTGCCAATTAAGAGACCTTGGATGTCTCCATGATACTTTATGGCATGGTTTTGTGAGAAAGAACGAGTTTGTGATACAGAGATTGTGGTATGAACAAAGCTCCAGTAGTCTTTGTCCACTGGCATTCATCTTTCCAATGCCATGATAGCCAAGGCATGCGGGCCACGCGTCGTGGTCAGCCCCAACCCTTGCATTGAAGTCTCCCAAAAAAAAACATGTGCTCAGAGCTGGGGATTTTGCGAATAATATTATGACGCTCTTCATAGAACTGGTCATGAATCTCCGGAGGTGAGTAGAGTGTTGGGGCGTAGACACTCAGGATGTTTACATGGCCAGAAGCAGTGAGCAATCTCATGAGTAGAATCCGCTCGGAGCCTTCAGTCGGTGGTTCTATCATGCCAAGGAGTGTGTTTTTGATGGCGAACCCAACACCGTGTTGCCTTGGTTCGTTCTGCTATTTTCCTTGCCAGTAGAAAGTGTAGTCACTCTCTCGTAGTGAGCCACTGCCAGCAAGCCGGGTCTCCTGCAGTGCTGCAATATCGATATGGAGTCTCGCCAACTCCCTGTCGATAACTGCAGTCTTGCGGATGTCCTCAGTCTGCAATAGATCTTCGGAGAGTCCAGAACACATTGTACGTACATTCCAGCTTGCAAAATGAAGGGCTGGAACCTTTCGTTTTGTTTTGTTTTTGTCTGGTGCAGGTTTTGCAGCCCACTTGTCTGGTGATGAACCATAAGCTCCAAGCACCCATTGGAGCAGGTGAGCCGTGGCGGGAAAGCATCTTATTGGCCGGGGGCTGCCCAGCTTGAGGCGGGTGGCGGTAGCTCTCCATTGGGGTGCAATGACCCCTCCCACCGACGATGGCAACCTGTGGCGCCCATTTTTTACGCCAATCTAAAATGAGCTTATAACCCGTGACTGCTGCCATCCGTGTTTCTTGGCCACGATTAGGTGGCCGAGGAGTGTCCTCTCCCCATTTGTGCACCTTTTGTTGGCGCAAAGCCCGGGCAGGTTATTCAGGAAATCCTGGGTTGCCCATGCATCAGGATCCCCCCCCTCGGCCTTACTGGTGATGTCCAAAGGAGTGCGTAGCACGACGTTTGGTCAAGTTTGGCTGCAGGGGCTGCCGAGAATGTGCCGCAGTGCGTCACAAAACCGCCTGAGGGGCCCCACTCCTGAGTTTCTGTCGGGGTTCACTCCCTTAGCCATTGACTCTCCCGAGACACTCACAAGGCAGTGAGAAAACCGCGTAGCTCTGGGAGGGGCCCTTACCAGGTACTGACAGCCGGGCCAGCTGTGCCTGGGACTCGCGTAAGGCAGGGTCGTCACGCCCTGAGGTCGTTTATCACAAACTACCCGCTACCATAAGTGCTTTTTATAATGTAATAATAAGTATATATGATTTTTAATTACACAAACTCTTCAAATTGCAATCTAAAATAAAATAATAATTATACAAATTCAAACCAAGTGGCTAAGGTAAGTCATTATCTTGAAAAAAATACATTGGGACTCGTAATCAATTTAGAGATAATTGATTTTAAAAAATTCAAATGAGATGGCACCGTTCCATATCTTAGGCTAACAAAAATTCTAAGCTACATTGCCAGTGCACGGGATCGTGTGCTTTCAGTGCAGATATTAAAAAAAGCGTTTCTCCGAACGTCTTCTAACGTGTTTCTACGGCCATTTCCAACATTCCGTGAACTTTATGCACATTCACAACTTCCGTGACCACAGTGACCTCGGTGCCACAACGCAATATAGCCTCAATGCATGCGGCAGTGCCGCGGGTATGGCCCGCATCACTCCGAGCAGGTGGCATCTATCAGTGGGGCAAATCGACAATGCAACCTACTTGCCCCTTCGGTTCCCGACCACGTGTGCGCAGCCACTGCCTTGCCGCAGCTTACACACGTCTCGAAAGGCAAGCTGCCTCCCGCGCCAGGTCGACAGAATGTGGAGTCCACAGCAGATGGTGCGGCGATTAATTCATTTTCTGGGGCCAAACGGTTGGAGGAAGGTGGCCTCTGGAATCTGGGCAGCTCGACGCCACCGCGCCCGCGTGAAATGCATCTTGGAGTTCTGCCCGGCCGTTCTTGGGGGGGTGGGAGGGGGGGGTGTTTAGAGGACGTGAGACGGACGTCGCTTCAGACTTCAGACTGCTTGTGCCTGCGCCACTGCACACAATTAACCAAGCGAACATTATACATGGGGGTTGGGGAGTGGTGGGTGGGGCGGGGGGCCTGCTGGCAATGTGATATTAAGCAACGTCTAAAGCACTTTCGAGTATAAATTATTCGTTAATTCGAACTGGCAGAATATAATCGCGCACCACCCGTGGCTTGATTTCTCAACGAATGTTTTGTTCCAGGGTTGCTGGTAATAGACCGGAGTATCCAAGTGACTGGTGGTCGCCACAACCAAGCGACAATATTTAGTGAAAGTGGTATACCGAACGCAGACATTATTCTTTTGGATCGCTAGTTGAAGCTAAGCCCTGCATACCACACTTACTACTAATACTAATACTACAGTAATATCATTCTTCATGCACACAAGTGTAACAAAATGCCATGTAAGACTGGGACATGGTACTGAAATTGTCGCGTAAAAATGTGGTTATATTTGTTTTGTTTTGTTTGCGCAGACAGCGATGAAAACTTTTTGCAAAGAAGCTTCGTTGCTGCATTTTTGATGCCAGCGAAATTAGCGGCAACTTCCAGAGTGCGGACCACTAAATGAGCCATTTGTTTATGGAAAATAGGTTACATTTAAAACTGCGTGTTCTGCTTGGCTTCTGCATGGCTTGCTTTGAGCTCCTGCCTGCGCTTATCGCCAGGCAATGACTTACAGCGTTTGCGAGACCGTCTCGAATAAAACTGACAGCTGTGCACACGTACAACACTAACAACGCTGATACACACCAATTTTTCTGGACAATTCACTGCTGGATGAGGGCCCCTTCCAAGCCTTGCAGTTCACGGGGTTATTTGACTGTACTTCACCACGCTGAACAGTGCAGGGCTGGTTAATCATGCATCCAAATAGATATTCCTCAATGTGCTATATAGTAGATGTGTAATTAGTCAGCCAGCCTTCAATTCAATTATTTGTCACCATTCAATTGAAATGCGTGCTGACAGTATATTGTGAATGGTAGCGCCTCCTCTCTGGGCTGTAGATATGACGTGAAGCCGTTGCATACAAAATATAATTGTCGGCCACGATTAATCCACTGCTGTATAGAAACATAAATAAATTAAACATTCTCACGTTGTCGCTGTCTCTCACCTAGCACCTGCACACAAGCTGATTTTATCGCTCCATCTCCACGGACGCGTTCCATTCCTTGGCTGCTACTCCTTCATTACTCTTGACCAACAGCCAACATCCAACAACCGAGGAAGAAAACAAAATTCCATTTATCCTTTACGCATCCAATTCAAATGTATATGTCATGTGCGTCAAAATTGCGATGAATACATTATTTCATACATTGTCACATGTGCTATAGCGTACGCACGTGGAAGAAGAAGAAAAAAAAAACAAATCCGTCACTTTTATTTAATCGCATTGGCGACACGTGACGCAGAAATGCCGGCTCGCTGAGCTGTCAACCCAGGGCTCCGTTGTGCGCCTAGGCTCAACAGAAGGGAATGAACGAACCCCCCCATCGGCTCCCCTCTCCTCACTTTCCGAGCCACCTCCCCCACTCCGCCTGGTATACGCAACAAGAAAAAACAACAACAACTTACTCTTTGGTTCTATTGGGTAAAGTCACGTAGGTAAAAAATAAAATAACAAAAATCGCGACGTTTCGGCCACAACACAAGCGGCCTTCATCAGGTGAAGGGACGAGACTGTCTGGTAGGACAGCGCTGGAGTGAAAAAAAAACCACGCTCAGATCACGACCTTTAAGCTGTGATGAAGGCCGCTTGTGTTGTGGCCGAAACGTCGTGATTTTTGTTATTTTATTTTTTCACCTACGTGACTTTACCCAATAGGACCAAACAGTATGGCTCCTAGCAGTCACGAAAGCTTTAAATCAACAACAACTTACATTATGTAACGCACCCAGAGCGTCACAAGCGTCTCGGCGTGCGCAATCGCGACGCACGAAGAACGGGCTGGAACTGGGGCGAGGGGACCGAGCAGGTGCCACCGTTGTGGGCGATCGGCGGGTGCCAGCCGCCGTGAATAGCAGGGCCACGGCTTGTACCGGCCGATATTGATAACGCGCTCAAGGGACCGCTACGGCAGAGGCGTGTAATTCCTTCCCCCTGCTGTGGCGGACTCGTGTTGGTCACGAGGCACGGGCACTTAAGACACTTCTTTGGGGAAAATGGAAATGCCCGTGCACACTTATGGTGCATTTGCATCCAAACTGTGCTTGCTGGCCGAGTGCATCTGCCTGTATTATGAGCTGCGGTGCAGACGTCTGACATTATAAACGCAAGTCACCCCACATCTAATGCACGCATCCGCTGCAAATGAGACCTTTCCGAGACCTCAACGTTGTCTTGCCTGGCTTGTGGATAAGACAGGTCGGTGGTGCCCTGTTGTGTGTGGGCGATGCAATGATATGTTCATACGGTTTCCCATTTTTGTTCCAGCGTGGGTTTGTATCCCACGATGCTGAATGCTACACGTTGGCAGGAAAACTTGTCGAAGTTTGAGTGTATTGGTCACGCCTGCCACGGACAATTAGAAACAAAGCAGGTGTCGAGGACTTCAC